AAGCAGTGTTTTCTATTTCTTTTCATGTCCTGAGGGCTGGGTTTTGTCCTTTTTGCTTCCTGCAGCCAAAGAATATTGTGAACAGCCTTTTTGGATACTTGACCAGTGCTAGACGTTTACCACCACTCGCTGTAAATTGTATGTGCTGTGCCCTGGGTATTAGTCAACATATTAACGCAAAGAACAGAAATAAACCTCCAAAACTGAGGGGCACAGACTGCTTTCTAGATGCCGACATTTCACTGACTAGTAAAGCTACTGCCTCAGCTCAGAAAGGACCTGAAACAGACCCATCTGGAAACCAGAGAGCCCACAGAGATGCTAGAGAAGAAAGGATGAAAAGCACTTTTCCACCACCTGATACTTTTGCTCAAGTAGGAGAGCTGGACTGCAATGGTCAACTGAGGGACATTAACAGTCATGGACAGCAGGGCTTGGGAAGCCGCCATGGTCGTGGCTGTCATCTTCATCTGGTCCAAGACAGCAAGCATGGACAAGGCAAGTGGACAAGAAAGAAGCTCTACATGTCTCCTGCAGTCAGGGATGTGTGTAAGGAAGAACCAGCTCAAGTGAGACGATGGCACTTCTGGGCACTGCTCAGAGCAGCCAGCCCCAGCAGACAGCTCCCAGGCACCGACGCTGCCCCACTGAGCGCAGCTGACACCAAAGCTGTCCCGGGTGCAGTGCTACACCAGAAACTCACTGACTCCCAAGGTTTCTGAGCACTTTAGTACACTACTGGAGTGAGGGAGGAAAAAACCATGCACCTCACAAAAGAAAAATGCCATAAAGGTAGATGAGTATCATTTTATGACCCCTTTTTATTTTTAAATAAGGGACACTCAAGCAATAGAGGTAATATTCATACCTGTCCACATCTTTCCTCTCCTTCAAGGCATATGTCATATAACAAACAATTTAAAAAGAGTGATTCAAGCATAATTAAAAACCTACCATCACTTTTTTTCTCTCTGCTTATTTTAGGAGGTTATTACTGTGGCAATTACATTTAAAAATTCCAGGAAGAGGGGCCACTGGTTTATTATCACTAGAAAACAGCAAGCTACTTCTCTGCCCTGTTTATCTGATTGATTCCCAACATCTTTCTGGCACACAATCTATCAGTTTATCTCTCCCACTTCATCACAGTCACTTCTGGCAGCTAAATACAAGATCCAAATCCAGTGTTACACAGACATACGACACAGTAAACCTATGTAACACCGCCACTCTGTAAACAGCTGCCCTTAAGGCTACGCAGAAATGGGATCTTGGTTTCTAGTCAATATTCTGTCAAAAGCAAGGTGGGAGGGAGGGCTTTAACAGCAGCGAGAAATGGTGCAGCAAGGTTTTAGTGGTTTCTTCCTGTACCGGCAATAAGGTGTGTTTACCGTCTCCTCTCATCTTGCTTCCTTGGCACGATGCGCAGAAAAAACTGCTGAGTAGTGATGGCAGAGGCTAAGGCACAAGAAGAGAATAATGCACAGACATCCTATGCTCTTAGAGAACTAAGCAGCAAGACGTTTTCAGAGCCCACTAAATCCACAGCCAGGTGGATTAGGGAGTGCCACCAAGGTTTTACAACTATGGCCACATTGGTTAGGAAGAGATGCATTTTTGGGACAGGTTCCTAACGTTGCACCTGGGAAGTGGGCAGCATCTTGTTGGCCAGGATCACCCTCCCTTTGGCAAGGCAGTGTTTCCTGTGACAGCTGTGAAGGGCAAGGAGTTGAACTGTGTGCACTCAGCATCCTCTTGCCAGAATCAGAAGGGAAAAGCTCTGTGCAGCAGGAGGAGGCCAAGCCCTGCGCGCCATCGTCTCCGCTGCACTGACTAGGCCAGCAGCCGACTGGCCGCGCGTTGAGCAGAGATGGCTTTGCTGACCCTGGGGATGACAGTGAAATGCTCTGTCAGTGCAGTGCCAACGGCAGGGCTGGGGACATGGCTGTGGAGAGCAGAGGGAGGCAAAGATGAGGGGAAAGGAGGAAAAATAAAAGAGCAAGGACAAGAGGGAAATTAGGGAATAGAAAAATAAAAGCTGCGAAGCATCTTATTACATCTAAATAGTGTACGTCTTAAAAGCTAAAGTTATAAATCATGCTAACAATGGTTACTAAAATAAAAGTGGATGTGGCCAGAGGCTACCACTGAAAAAGTCAGTCTAGACCTGCCTCGCTGCCTTTGGTCTTTAAGGATTTGATTAGTTTTTCCGCTTTCTAGCTCAGTCTTGCATTCAGCCCATGCTCCAGAGCCAGCTAGGGCTCAGGATACAGAATGACTGATAAATTCATTTACCAAATAAAGCAACATTGTTTTCACAGCACAAGACTTAAAACACTTCCGAAGCTGTAATATTTCATTTAGCTTGGTGATTCTGGTTAAAATTTATTAGTCAAAACAGAAAACTCTCATCAGACCCCATATATTCCATTAGGAGTGATATATGGTGTCTCCCAATGTCTAATTATTAACTAGGAAGTGTAAGTAAATCACTATCAGCATTAAGCCCTGATGTGTGAAGACAGAGTTTGAGTCAGGCAATTTCAGCATCAAAAGGCTTTGATTTGAAACACATCCTTTTTTTTTTTTGCTTTCCTTCCTTCACCTCTTCACATCTTCCCTGAACTTCAAAAGCCGAAGCTCAGTCTCCCATGTAAGCAAACAACTGCCTACCTGCAGCGATGTGCACACAGATCCAGTCTGCAGCAAAACTGCCAACTCCCAGCTGCTCCCACCAAAAGCTGGGACCAGGACGAAAACTGCGTGCAAAGTGGACAACACACAAAGCAAGCAGCAGAAAGTCGCTAACATCAGTTTTATTTTTGGCAAATAAAGTGGCAATGCCTGCCACGAGTGCTCCTGTGTGCGTGTGCTAGTTCTAAACTTAGCAAAGCTTTGCTATCAAACCAACCCTGTCAGATTCTCCAGTCAAACCACAGACCACCAACACACCAGCAAAGAAAAGCCCACCAGGCCCACAAGCTGCATTTGCAGAGGGCTGGGACCAGCCGGGAGCTGAGTCCCCTTCCTGTGTCCTCAGTACGCCAAAGAGCTTAAAATCTGCAGCCCCTAACAAAGAGCGAGGCAGAACGTGTCTGAGCTTCAAAAGCGGCCAGTATTCACCTGCCTTTGCTGACACCAAAGCCACTGTTAAAATTCCCACTGGAGTCAATGATGTGTGCTTTCTAAAGAACTCACCTTAAAAGGACTCCCTCTCCACGCTAGTTAAAGAGATGCACACAAAGGACATTGTACAAAATTAGAGGGATTTAGAAATGCCATCAGGGTGTTGTTCAAGGGTAATAGAGATTCATTTCTCATTTTAGAGGTCAATTTTCATTTTAGAGGTTAGGTCTCATTTTCATGCACTATCTATCAGTGTTTCTAATACTACAGTTGCTGACCTTTCTGATTTGCAGACCCTAAGAATTTCCAGTTGAGACAAAGAGCTAAGTATAGCTGAAATAAGCCGTGTGACAAAAGGCTCACTTCCCTTAGCCCTCACAGAACAATTCAAATTAATACCTCAGAAAAGGAAACAGTTTGGTTTACAAAGCTTAGAAATACAATTGGAACACAAGAAACATTTTTTTCTCTGATGTTATTAAAATCTTCAGAAAACCCAGGAAAGCCATGGGTCATTTCTGCTACAGGGCATCAAAGCCACCTATGGTCCATCTCGCAAGTGGCACTGCTGCCTTAATTCACCCATCTGTGAAGAGGCGAGACGCAGCCTCACCCAGCCGTCGTGCTGCTGCTATACGGGGAAGCCAAAACAGCCCTATGGGGCTCCCTGTGCCAATAACAGCAGCAAACAAGGGCTGGTAATGTGCAGGGCAGCAGAAAGGCAGAAGCTCGTAGTGCTTCTGCCATCTCAGAGAAAGATTCAACAATCTGTGGACTTTGAAACGACGA